TTCAGTCATTGTAGACTTCAGACTCTTCAGCATAGTATTCAAGGCTTTTCACGTCTGTTCCTAGCCTACCTCGCCAGACTTTTCTTCTACTTGATATTCAACATCAAAGGCTGCAGATTCTCCACCCCAAGGCTGACGCTTGTCTACAGATAGGTTATGTTTTGGCTTGTATAAAGTTTTAAAAATTGTTCTTAATTAATTGAATAAATGTGTAAAAATCAGGATGAAAATTGGGATTTCTGTCATCACTTATAAAATCAGAAGGCTTGGCTGTGCAAGTTTATGCACAGCAACAATTGTCCAAGTCTCAGGACCTCTGCTTTTCTTAACTGAGCAAGTCTTGTGGTTTAGCACAGCCTTTTCACACCCCTCAAGTATTGAGTTTTGCTTTGCTGCTCTTTTGATATTCATTTGAACACTTCAGGTATTTGCATATGTAGCCATTTGATATACATGCCTGCCACTGCCTATCTTGGTCAATTCTTTGATGTGGCTGTGTTGTTCTGCCTTACTTTTCTGCCTTTGCTGAGGCCAGTCTCCTGTCTTAATTTCATCACTGGTGTGGTTGTCAGCTTAAGCACACACATGCATATACACAGACTGAACAATGTGAAGCCTGGTAGACAGGAAACAATAATTCTTTGCACTCTTATGGATAAGAGTCCTTTATTCAGATGACTTGCATAATAGTAACTCTACACTATATTCTAGTTAATTATTTGAACACTGCTTTTACCTGCTGAATAGTAAATTTGTTAGGAACAGGGAATATGACTCCTCTTTCTTTGTTTACTTGTCAAACAAATAATGAATTTGGTAAGCAAGAGTTCTAAACTTGAGTCTGGTTGTTTATTCATTGTGTATTTCTTAGCAAGATTTACCTCAATGTCAAGTTCCTTAGGTATTTGGAAACAGTTAGCGATTGGTGGGTTTTTTTTTTAAATCCTATAATAATAATAGCCATATTTGCTTTGGGAGAGGAATGATACTATAATTCCTCTTTATAGTTTAACCTTGAGCCTCTCTTCGTGAGAAATCTGAATATACTTGAGGAAGAGATTAACCAATCCAAGTTGACCTTGGATTTATTTCTAGATGCATGAAAATCTTTCTCTATCAGAGACAGTTTTCAAATCCAGTTACCATTATGATGTGCTCCTGGCCTTGGACCATTTCTAGAATTGCAATGCAACAAAGAAAGCGAATGAATTTTCCCTGACTTCTGTAGTATCCTTATGTTCTTTCCCTGTGACAGCTGGAATTTAGCTGCTTTCTTATGTATAGTGTGTCCTGACTAATTTTTTTCCCCCCTATGCGTTGGTCATATATTGGAGTGTGTATAAGGAACATTTATTTGCTGGTATATGTTCTGGCATTTGGAGAGAGGTCTCTTTAACTTCAAGATATTATAAGACTTTCAATACCTCTCACCTTTGGATAAGGCTACAGAGGAAATGTTGATTATATACGTTTATCTTTAGATCTTTGCTTCATTCCTTTGTACAAGGGCAGAATATTTGCTGACGGTGTGCTAATGTGGAAAGAGCATATGTTTGTAGGAAGACAGA